ATATATATATATATATTGCACAGTAATTATTATATGACTGCCAGTTTTAATTAGTCAGATATTGAATAAATAAAAATGCTTGCTTTGCCATAATACTGAAGATATTTTTATGTATATTACTTTTTAGTGTCTCAATCTTCATTTCTTATACAAATATTCATAATACAAATAAAACAAACAAAAATGGTTTTATTTTAAGTAAAGTTAGAAAATTATATTAGGATGATATTTTATAAAACTTATGACAAAAATGATAAAATTTCATAGTTCGAAAATTGATTCTATGTACATAACATTTAGTGTTTCTATTTCAGTTTAAATACTTTTCAATAAGAATTTACTGTTATCACCTCTATATATCCTGATTAATCAATTATTTCAGGTGAGAATAAATTGTAGAAACGAACAAATTTTAGAACCTTGAGAAGCTTCCATTATGGTTTTAATAAGCTCAAACATTATTCTTTGAAATAAAAATAATTCAAAATTTAAAAAGTACCTAACATACATGAGAAATAAAAGACATTTGGCCTAGCTAATTTATAACTTAAAATTTACTTGTGTCTAAAATTATTAACACCAATTTTAGTTCTTAAATTCACTTTATCTATATGGGCATAGCTTAAATGATTTGCCCTAAACATACTTAACTAGGCATAAAATTGAAATTTAATAGGATCATTATTGAGGTTAAATAGACATTTTAATGGTTTCTTAAAAGACACTTATTCCTTCATAGAACAAGATATCCACTATGTCATTAAAAATTCTCAATAAATATCTTATACTAATAATATGTTATTTAATCAATATAATTAAATGTCAGAAAGATCTAGCTATAACAGACATTATCTATCATTAAATAATCATCATTAAAACATATTTTGTAGGCCTGAGTTTTGTACCAACTAAATATTGAAATACTTACTAATCACTTGTCTGTATTGAGTGCTAGTTGAACTTAAACTAATAAGTGTTTTGTAAGTTAATTCATTTTTGAATGAATATTATTTGATCAAACTACTTTTGTAATTTCTAATATATTTCCATTATTTATTATATTTAACTTACTTGAATTTCCCACAGTTTTAAATTATTCTATAATGGCATTATGTATGAGCTAAAAAGTATATTCTGGGATCAACTATTTTGATAACGGTATCATATGTAAATAAAGTACACTGATACATGTGAACAAATATTTAAAACATAGTACCAAAGTCATAAATAACTCTGAAAAGTTAACAAATATTCAGGAACTATATAACATACTCAATGAATAATTAATGTGGTAAAGAACAAATCAAAAGGAAAATTAGAGAGAATACTGAGCTAAATGAAAATAGGAACACAACATATAATTTATGAAAGGTAATTTCAGATTGAAATAATGAAAACTTTATTAATCACTATTAAAATTTTTTAAAAAATTATTTAGAAAAGAAGAAAATTCTTAAGTGAATAATATTATCTTTTCTCACATATCATTAGACAAAGAATAGATTTAACTTAATTTAAAGAGTTAAAATAATATAATAAAAATCATAACAGGAATCAATGAAGTGGAAGAGAGAAAAAAAGAGACAAAAATGAAACTTAGTTTTCTGAGATCAATTCAAATGATAAACCCCTAGTCAATCCTGATCAATAAATTATCAGAAAATCTATAAACTATCAAAATCACAAGTGATAGAGGCGATGTAACTACAGAGTATAGACTTATTAAAGGGATAATAAGGAATCTTATGCTGAACGAGCTGATGTGTGATTGCCTGCAAGGAGCTGAAAGGTGGCAAAGTGGGACAAGGGAGCCCAAGGGAGGAACTTTGGGACTGAGAGTTATCTTCACTATCATATTTATCATGACTTTTCAGTCTTATTCATATGTTTAAATGGATAAAATTATACATTTGACATAGGCACAATTTATTTTCGTTTATTATACCTTAATCGGTATGTTTAAAACCTTAAGAAATCAAGATGTAAGATAGAGTAGAAATCTAAAATGTAATGGAGATAAGTTACATAAAGAAAAGGAAATCATATTAGGTTATAAGATGTAGGAATAAAAGATGAGGAATGAACCAACAATGTAAAGATGTCACTAACAAATGCAGTTATCATGCTAAGCTTGTTGTGTTGATGAAAAGATGGATGAGATGTTTTTAAGATAACTTTAAAAAAACCTCATTTGAATTACATTTGAAAATTTTATGCTGGGTGTGGTGGTGATTTTCGAGGCTGAGGAGGGAGGATTGCAAATTCAGAGCTAGCCTTAACAACTAATAGAGGCCCAAAGCAGTTTAGCAAGACCCTGTCTCAAAATAAATAAATAAATAGGACTGGGAATGTAACTCAGTGGTAAAGTGTCCCTGGGTTTAATCCCTAGCAACCAAAAAAGAAGAAAAAAGAAAAATTTAAATTAAAGTTTGTATTTTTTTTCTTATCATTTTTTATTAAACAGTACAGTGTAACTATTGACATAACATTTCCACTGACTAGGTATGATAGGCAATTTATAGATGATTTAAAGTATATGGAAGAAAGTGTATAAGCTATATGCAAATACTATACCATTATACAGTAGAGGATTGAGCATTCACAGATTTTGGTAGCCATAAGGGTTAACTCTCCATAGGGTCATGGAATCCATCTTCTGCAGACACTCAGGGACAATTGTACCTAGAAGTACAGTTATTGGGTTAACTTTTTTTTTTTAACATTTTGAGAAAATTTCAAATTGTTTTCTCAAGTGTCTGAATCAAGTCTAAAATCCGCCATCCATGTATGAAGTTCAATTTCTCTGCATCCTTATTAGTATTTTAGTGGGAGTGAAATGCCACTATGTTGTGGTCTTTTTTTTTATTGTTGGTTGTTCAAAACATTACATAGTTCTTGATATATCATATTTCACACTTTGATTCAAGTGGGTTATGAACTCCCATTTTTACCCC